TAAACGTGAAAATGTTACATTCTTTGTTCGGGTAATAACTCTGGAAAAGTAAAAAACTCCAAAGGTGACAATCGCGTACAACCGCACGGCTATACTATTTAAAAAAAATTACAAAAGTCACAGAGTATAGCCGACCGGCTGTACTACTCACCCAAAAAAAAAACCGCCTAGCGCCCGCCTAAAGATTAGTGCCCATGTGTAAAAATTAGTATAGCCGCGCGGCTAGACTATTTATTTAAAAACCCTTACAAGAAAAGGACCCTTCTAGTTTCGTTTGTTTATACTCTATGATATTAATTTCCCTGTTTTCATATTCATACTTTCTAGATTTAAATTTTTTAATATAAATTATTTTTATTCAATCATATGCTAAAATTATGTGTATAACACATGCATTTTGTGTGTATTTTGTGAAAACCAAGTGTATTAAACATGAGAAATAAGTACGTACGTATAAAATGCAAGTATTAAACGTGATAAAGCTACATTCTTTGTCCGGGTAATAACTCTGGAAAAGTAAAAAACTCCAAAGGAGATAATACAGGCTTGGTTAATCTTCTAATAGCATTGGTTAATGCTCTAAACTATCGATAAACAAAACTAGGGGAAAAACAATTTTTAAAAAAAAATCACTGTATCTATGTAAAGAATACAGCCGAACGGCTATACTATTTCTAAAAAAAAAATTACAAAAGTCACAGAGTATAGCCGCCCGGCCGTACTATTTACCCAAAAAAAAAAAGCCCGCCTAGCACCCGCCTAGCGATTTGTGCCCATGTGTAAAAACAAGTATAGCCGCCCGGCTATACGGTTTATTCAAAAAAACCTTATAAGTGAAGGACCCTTCTAGTTTCGTTTGTTTATACTTTATGATATTAATTTCCCAGTTTTCAAATATAAACTTTCTGGATTTAAATTTTTGAACAGAAATTATTTTTATTCCCTCATGTGCTAAAATTATGTGCATAATACATGAATTTTGTGTGTACTTTGTAAAAATCAAGTGTATTAAACATGAAA